ACTCTTTCAAAATGTACTATTTTGTGTTCATTCTAACAATAAATGAGAATTCTTGCTGTTCTACATCTTTACTAGTATTTCATACCATCAGCCAGGTGTTTTGTTTGTTTTAATTTGAGCAATTCTAATAGGTGTGTAATCATATCTAATTGTGGTTTTATTTTGCAAGCACTGCATTTTACAGATCTATCCCTGTTGCCATATTACATTAGACATGCTGCTGCATAATATTCCATGATATGCATCCACCACATTTCACTATCTCCCAACAATGGACACTGCAGTTGTCTCCAAATAATACCATATAATTCATATTCTTTATTTCTTATGATCTCAGATTTCAATATTTATTTTTACCGACAAGTTGCTTCATAGATGAGGAAAAATAATATCTAAACAAATATCCAAACAATATTTAAACTAAATCCAAAAATCTTGCATAGTAGATTGTCAAATTTTCTCATATAGACAAATATAGAATTGATGCAATTGTCTTCAAAAAAGGATCACTTAATAAAGTATTATGACTTCTAGTTTGTTTTCAATGACTTTTTTCTTTCCTTTCTCCTTCCCTCACTAGCTTTCTTCTTTGCTTCTTTACTTTCACTTCATTCTGTCAAACATATATTTATTGAATGCCTTTGCCCTGCTAGTCATTATCCAAGACAGGAGTATACAAAAACAAGGACACTGCCCTGTAGTAACTAATAATCTAATGTAGTGTGTGTTTGGGGAGAAGGAAACATGGGAACATACATGTATACATAAAAAGTTGTTGGAAAACAGACAAGAGTATGCAACCAGATCTGCCTTGGTGAGTTAGGGACGATTCCCCAGAAAAGATAAAAACTTGGGCTTGATTTTTAAAGAGAAGTTGAAGGGGGAAACAGAAGATATAAGAATACTTGGTGTGTTGAGGGTCTGGTGAGTCTTTCAAAGTCATCATGTACGGGGTTCATGACAGTGGATAGTGGGAGGTATGGCTAGAAAAATAGGATGGATTCAGATTAAGATGGACTTTGTAGGCATTGTTTTGTCATGTGACATTAAAGAGCCATTGCAGGTTTTATGACAAAGCAGATTTGGTCGTTATTTATTTATTTATAAAATATTTTATTTATCTATTTGTCAGAGAGAGAGAGAGAGAGAGAGCTTAAGCAGGGGGAGAGGAGGCAGAGGGAGAAGCAGACTCCTTGCTTGCAAGGAGCCTGATGTGGGACTCAGTCCCAGGACCCTGGGATCATGGCTTGAGCCAAAGGCAGACACTTAACCAACTGAGCCACCCAGGCGTCCCTGGACTTGTATTTAGAACCATAACTTTGGCAATACAGATCAGAGGAATAAGAGGTAATTATTAGGGAGACCAATTGCAAAGCTATTATGGCAAATAGTTAAGGTAAGAACTCTTGAAGACCCACACAAAGGAATGGCCTATTTTCTGCCTAACTATTTGTGAAGCAGGAAAAAAAAAGTAAAATCTGGGAAGGAAGACTCATATTTGTCATGCAAATTAGAAAATAAATACTATCATCAAAGGACAACATAAAAGGGGCGCCTGTGTATTTGCCTGTGGTGACAGATACATGCGCACATATGGTAACATTGTATAGAATTAAAACACAAACACACACCAGGGGGCCCAAGTGAAACTGGGGGAATTTGAATTAAGATTGTGAATTGTTACTATTGTGGTAAACTGGGTAAAATTTACACAGATCTTTCTGTGTTATTTTGTATAACTGTATGACTCTATGATAATTTTAATATAAATTTCAATTAAAAATGATAGCAGAATAAAGATATTTTCAAATGAAAATCTATTAATCTGTTTTTGGATGTAGAGAGAGAAATTTAAGGCAACTTGTCCAGAATTTCCCACTAAAATTTTGATTTTATGTTGCATTTATATAATTTTTGGGAAAAAGGAAAAAATAAAAGTATCTAGAATCAAAACTAAGATAACAGTTACTTAAATGTATCTTGTGCAGTTTTTATGTGATAATTATTATTGGTACCATTAGACTTTTTAAGTTGCTGATTAATTGAGATGGGTGAAAATAAATATTTATTGAGTACTTAAAGTGTAAATCATTGCTCTGGGGACTGGATTGACATATATTTCTCTTTTCCATGCTAATAAAGAGGCTGATTTTATTAGAATTATTAATGCATTTTACAGATGGAGAATCATAAGGGTCGGAGTGTGTAAGTACTTTTGCAAGGTCACAGAATGTTGGGATGAACCTATGCTTCTCTGACTATCAAGCTTATGTGCTTTTCTACTGCTTAAGGGTTGAAATACAGACATAAGCATATTTAAGAAATCATCTCTGTTATCAATTTGTCTGGTTGATTTCTATAGTGTCTGTATCCAATATTTAGAAATGTGGAGTATACTTCTGTGGTAATTGTTGTGAATTACTTCAGCTCAGGAAAAATGATGTAAAATTTGTGACAGATAGTTTTTGATAAAATATTTCACAAAAATAGTGTCAGATGCTAATAGAAGACTTCAGGGGTATTCCCTCAACCTTTAAATAACACAAAAACAAAACAAAACCTCAGTAAGAAGTTTATAATGTTTAACTTTTATTTGGTGTTAATTCTCCATCAGGTATCATGTTAAGCAACTTACACATTGTTTAAGCTTTCACAACAAAATTGGGATGAAAGATTCCAAAGCTGTGTTTCTTAACCACTAGGCTACAATGCCTTAAAAATCAACCAAATGAAAATAATGGGGGATGAAGAAAAAAAGGAAGTTTAACTCAAAGTTCAGCATGGTTCATGATCAGTGACCAGGGCTACCATTTACTGTAATTAAGTTAGATGAGTTAACTGCATTATGCATTTAGAGGGTCTAAGAGGAGTCAATGTGAAAAACTCAATGGTATCTCAGGTCAGTTACTTTCTACCCCTATGTCTCATTTTCTTTTCTTCATCGCCTTTACTTATTTATATCTAGAATTATTTCAGGGGCACCTGCGTGGCTCAGTCTGGTATCTGACTCCTGGTTTCAGCTCAGGTCGTGATCTCAGGTCAGGGTTGTGAGATTCAGCCCTACACAGGGTCTGGGCTCAGTACAGAATCTGTGTGAGATCCTCTTCCTCTCCCTCTGTGCCACCTGCCTCCCACCTCCAGTTCTCTCTCTAAAATAAATAAATAAAATCTTAAAAAAATAAAATTATTTCATTACTGTCTGTCACATGCCTTACCTCACTAAACCATAAGTTCAGTAATACCAAGAAACTTGTCTTTCTTAATGTTATATTGCTAGTGTCTTACCTTGTTCCCAACATACATCTGGGACTATCCCAAAGGAATGTATAAATGATTGACCTTCCCTTGACTTAAATGGTAGAATTTTAGATTTACAAACTATGGTTTAAACGATTATATTAAAAGACATGCATTATTAGCAATTTACTAGGGTTTCATTTCTTAGATTGGCTAAGATACACTGGAAGAAGGGGAGGAGCAGCAGGCAGAGGGAGAGGGAAAAGCAGGCTTCCCATCGGTAGGGAGCCGGATGTGGGGCTCGAGCAGAGGACCCTGGGATCATGACCTGAGCCAAAGGCAGATCCTTAAGGACTGAGTCACCCAGGCACCCAAGGCAACTAATTTTAATGAGATTGGAAATGACAAAAGAAAATCTATGTGCTTTAAAATGGAATATAGTTATTAAACATGAGCATTACAATAGATAACTTCAGGCAGTTTGAAATGTAAAGGAATGAGCATGTAGAGAAGAAATTCTCAAACTTTTTGGTTTCAAGACCCCTTTACACTCTAAAACTTGGGGACGCCAGAAAACTATCCGGTGCATTCTAGATACTGATATGTATCATATCAGAAATTAAGAAATTTAATTTAAAAGTATTCATTATTTCACCTAAAAACAATAAATCAATTAAATATTAACATAAAAGAATCTTATATAAGAAAAGTAACTATTTTCCAAAACAAAAAAATTGAGTGGCACGGTCTTACATTTTTGCAAATCTCCTTAATGTCTGCTTTAACTGCAGATGACTGGATTTTATTATCTGCTTCCTTTTTCAATGTTTCCATATCACATGTTATGTAGTCTCCGGAAAACTCCACTGTACACTTGTGAGAGAATGAGACTGCAAAAGGCAGATAATGTTTTAGTATTATTATGGAAATACTTTCGACTTCTCCGACTTCTTTTAACGCATCTGGGGGCCACACTTTGTGGACCACTGTTTTAAGAGTTAACATTAGTCAATCCATCATCAGTTGAAAAATAGCCATGTTTCACGGGCCTGAGGATTTACATAAAATTTATTTTTTCAGCAAGATGAAACAACAGTGTCCCCATTATAAGGCATCCAGAGAGTAAACAAACATTGCCATTTTCATCCATCAAAAAAACTGAAGTAGAAATGAGGGACTGCACGTTAGGTAAAAGGATGGAAGGTAAGGGATGAGGAGGCAGTCCCGGAAGCCACTGAGACCCACCGAGTTAGGACACGCAAAACCGCAGAAGACGCCGCCAAGGTGGTCAGGAGGAAAGAACTGTAGTTCTTAGGGGAAAGTACAGGCGAGGAAGGAAAATGGTTACCCGGCACCACGGAGTTGAAGGAATTAGGCCGGGAAAGGAACGGGCGGCAGCTGCCCCACCCGGCTTTGACGCCTCCATGCACCAGGCAGAGGAGAACGGGGTGGGCCAGGGGCAAGGCGAGCGAGTCAGGGGCCTTCCCGGGTACCTAAGGGATTGTGATTTCTTTTCTTGTGCAGCGGGGAGAAAAGAGATGGCGCGGCGCGTAGCAGGGGGCCGAGGCGGGAACCCGAGGACCCCCCCAAGCACCTCGCAGAGGGTGTGGAGGTCGTCCAAGAAGAAGGACAGTTCTGTTGCTAGGCAACCCGTCCTGGGCCCGCCTCCCGCTCGCGTTGCTAGGAGACGGCGAGGCCTGGGGGGGCAGCGGTGCGGGCCCTACGTGCTGACGCTAATTGTATATGAGCGCGAGCGGCGGGCTCTCGGGTCTTTTTTAGCGCCATCTGCTCGCGGCGCCGCCTCCTGCTCCTCCCGCCGCCGCCCTGAGTCACTGCCTGCGCAGCTCCGACCGCCTGGCTCCCCGTGCTAGCCACCGGTAACGGATGGGGGGTCTGAAAGGGAAAGGGGAACGTAGGATCGGTCAGGCGGCCTGCGCGGAGGGAAGGGACAGGGGAATGAGAGTGAGGGCCTCTGGCCTCCGGGGCCTCCCGGGTCGTCCAGTGAGGCCGGAGCCTGAGCCGTCCGCGGAGTTTCGTCCCCGTAGCCTGAGAGGGCCTCGAGGATTGGCTGGCGCTTTACTCGGGAACGGCTGAGGAGACGCGGGGCGTCGGCGGGGCCTGCGAGGCGCGGGGGCCGTGCTGGTGTGCGCCGAGGTTCCCTGAGCCCCACCGGCTTCTCCGCGCGGACGGCAGCGAGGCCGCGGTTTCGCCTCCCGGTCCCCAGCGGTACGGCCGCTGTCTCTTCAAGGCTGCCGGGGTGCGGGCCGGGTTCGAGTGCGTAGCCCACGGCTTCCTCGACGCCCCCGCTTCCTCAAAAATAATCCCCGGAGGGAGGCCGCTGGGGGATGGAGAGAACGGCGGAGGCTGCGAATTCCGATGGGAGGGAGGGGATGTGAAGGGACGCGGCCCGGAGGGGGCGGGGAGGCTTCGAGGCTCCTGGGCTCTCCGCCCACTGGAGGCGGCGACGGTGCTGGGAGGGGAAACCCCGGAGGCTTCCCTAGACACGTGGCCGTCGCCTGGGCTTGATTGGAGACGGGGATGGGTTGTCCTCACTTTACTGAGAGTTGTAGGGGTGGTGGGATGTGAAAATTCAGAGTAAACAAGTCTAGCTTTTGGCTTTCAAACTCCTACCTGCTTCTCTTTGGTCTTAATCTTTTTATTGGTAACAGGAAAGTATGAGTGTTAGATGGGTGATGAAGCATGGCCTCTACTGCTAGGATTTTAAAGAATTTACGCTTGTGAAGGGGTCGTGTTAGCTGTTGTTAACACGGGATTTTTTTGTGTACCTCCAGTACAGTTAGAATTTAGATGGGTGTCTTGACCGGGATTTCATTACCTGGGGAGAAGTGATCCTAATTAATCTAATCCTGTAAACGGTTCTAAGAAGAAAATAAACGATTTTTTGTTTTTAGTGTCTTTAATTCTATTAGGACTTCTTTCACATTCTTACAAATTAGTTCCTTCATTGAAGTTCCCAGAAGAGGTTACTTAACTAGTTGTTTTGTTTTTATAATGAATGGAGGCGCTGGGTGTAGGAAGTATGGGTGGAAATAGGCGTTAATGTAAACTTAGTGGGTCAGGTTTGTAGCCTGCTGTCTTGTCAGTGCTCCTACTAATACAAGGAGGCAGTGAAGGGAGCTGGGAATGCAGTCCTATTTGGGAGGGCTAGGCTTTCAGAGTAGAGAAAGAACGAATCTGGCACGTAATGTCCTCAAGGAGCCCCTATTTTAGATCATCACTGATAAATGATTAGTAACTAGTTCTGTAAGGATTGCACTTTTAAGTCTCTGAACATTGCCTGGTTTCAGAAGAGCTGTAAAACGGAATTTGCTGTTTTTGAAGATAGGTAGCATCAACGTATCTTTTAAAAGTAATATTTAATTAAGTCCTCTTTTCTTGTCAACCCACGTTAACACTTCTGTACTTAAAATACACATTACCTTTGGATAGGGGAAATATTACATACAGAATAACTTGTTTAAATTGTTGAGGTAAATAATGGTTTACAGTGATCTTCTGGGCCTAAGTCTCGTGCTTGTTGGAAGTTGTTCAAATTAAATAAAAATTTTAAAAAATTAAGTTCAGTTAATGTTCCAAATCTAGAATGTGCAATTTACTTCTAAGAAGACTGGTCCTGGGGCCCCTGGGTGGCTCAGTGGGTTAAAGCCTCTGCCTTCCGCTCAGGTCATGATCCCAGGGTTCTGGGCTCTCTGCTCAGCGGGGAGCCTGCTTCCCCACTCTCTCTCTGCCTGCCTCTGCCTGCTTGTCATCTCTGTCAAGTAAATAAAATCTTTAAAAAGAAAAAAAGAAGACTGGTCCTTTGGAGGATAGATGGAATCAAACATTGGTTATGAAACTTTGACTTCATAGATTATCAGGTCAACGTTATGTTAATTTGATAAACACAACTTCAAAAAAATTCATCATACCAGTTTGAAACCTGTAAATTTTATCTGTTGCAAAGTACCTATTTTTGATACTGGGCCTGTTGACAAAATACTAAGCCAATGCTAAATGTGGCACATGACTGATCTTGTTTGCTGGAGATTTAAACAACAACCAAAACCCAACACTTGTACCAGAATTATTTTAGTCCAAAATGCTGTTGCTCATTTTATTACTTACCCAGCTTGTCCATATTGTCTCCAGGTGACTGAATTCTAACGCCCCAAATTATATTTTAAAAAGTCCTTTTGTAGGAAAAGGGGCTAAAAGAGGCGAAATCTATTAGACTTAAAGAATGAAGAAGATATCAAAATCAAATACTACATCTTTGCTCATTTTTTGATTGGTTGTAAATTTGGAAATGTTAATGAAAATAAGATGAGAGAGGATGAGTCCTGATAAGTTGATCAGTCTATTCAGATCCTCAAGTTTAAATCAGACCTGTCATTATTTGTGTTTTTATTTGATTCTCTGAGTATTTTAGCATCTATTCGGATATAATGTCTTTAAAAACATCAAAAAAACATTGGTTAGCTAGATATAAAATGTTAAGTTGTAGTGAATGCTATTAAAAAAAAGCGGGGGACAGAGTAGTATTTAACATTCTTTACATCAAGGACCCATTTAATGGTGATTTTAAGTGCCATTTCTTACTAATTTCATCTGAATAAGAAGTTCCCCTTTTTGGGCAGAGTAGGTTTTAGAAAGTGAACGTTGTTGCTTTCACCCATCCTTGTAAGTTGTTTTGTACATTGATATCAGACTACTAGATCACATTACTGCACTTGCCATCCAAAGTGGCCTCTGTACTTTTGGTTACCAACTTTGCCTTTTACACTACATGGTTTGATAAATTTTTATTTGTTCAGAAATTTTGTACTTTTTAATTTTTATTGGGAAAGGGGGTTGTAATTTTGAAGAACCTATTACATTTAACTAACATATTTAATTAATTATACTTAATTATTTTCTAAGGTAAAGAGGGTACAGAAGAACACAACAGGGGAAAATAATGTAAGAGCACAAATTACTTCGTATTATTAGCTAATTTAATGCTCCTAGAAGTAGGTAGTATCAGCATTTTATGTGAACCCGAGGTACAGAGCAGTTAAAGGACTTCTTCAAGGTTACATAACTGAGCAATGATGACTTACCATGAGGCTTTTGTATTGGTTTTTAAAGGGAGCTCCCTTGATTTAAACTGTTACACTATACACCAGCTTGGAATTCATAAGCACGCTTTGGATTCCACTGTGCTCTAAGGAAAGGCAACAGTATTTATTTATGGTCAGGGGGTCTTCCAACATGGAATTTGTTTACATATGGTAGTTGAGTGATGGCTCCTAAGCTTTTTGTCTGGTGTGTGTGTGTGTGTGCGCGTGTGTGTGTGTGTGTGTGTGTGTGTGTGTGTAATTCTCCCCTCATGCGAATAAATTGGTTTTGTTTGTTACTGCTTGGTGAATATTCACCAGATTTTTCAGTCCAACCCAGGTATGTTTCTGTGCTGTGGGATTAGATGATAATCTAGAAAATTGAGCTCCCTTGGACTAGAAGTTATGTAGTGTTCTCAAATAGGAGTCCATTTGGTGAGCCTAAAGAATAGGATATTGTAACTATGAGGTTGTGCTGGAGCCAAATCAAGTATTGAGCCCTTGGACCACTGAAAACATTATAGAACAACAGTGTCTTAAATAGAGATTTGCTTAAAAGTGCATTTGGAGGGAGATGTGAGGTCTCAGGTAAGGGGAATCTTATTATTGGTTCCCTTGAACTCTTGCTTTAAAATATTTGTAATTTTTCATGATTGGTTGTTTCCCTATGAAGTATGTCATTTTATGTAAAGGAACATCAGCTATTTTATTATGGTATAATCTACGTAACAGTAGGCTGATAGAGCAGGTACTTTGGTTTTTTGGATGATATTGGATGTCACATGGGTTTTGAAAGTCAGATTTTTAATTACTAGGTTCTTACCTTTTGTGTGTTGCTGAGCAAGTTGCTTAGTATTTTATCCGTAGATAGGAGGAAAGCCTAGAATAGTTCCTTACTGAGTAGGCTTCATAAATGTTCGCTTTCTTTACTTCTCATTGAAAGTCAGGAGAACTTATTCAGAGTCAGGTTTTCTGGAATGGTGAGAAGTTATTTGGTAACACATGTCTGGACATCCAACTACTACAAGAGCACAAAATACAACCAGTTTGTGGTGTAATTCAGTGACTTGTTTCCCCTTTGCAGTGGAAGATTTTTTGTGTGTTCAAGTTCTCAGGTTAAGATTTGCCTTCAGTGACATTGTTATGAACAGTATCTTTGAATTGAGATCTTCTGCACATTACATATACTGGGTAGTGAATACACTATTTTATTGTAGAGTGACCTTTTTATTTCTAGTATTGCTTTTCCTTAAACTTTATTTTTAGTTGTTAATAATAGTTATACCCGCTTTCTTTCGGTTAGGATTATATTTTACTGGAAAACTATATCCTTATGTTATAGATAGGTTTCTTATAAATGGAATGTAGTTGGATTTTCTTAAATCCTGCCTGATGCTTTTTAATGGGAACCTTTAGTTGATTTATCTTCACCACTGACTTAATGTTGTGGTAGTTTTAATTTTTTAACACACTACACAGTGGTGATACTTAAAAAGGTTTATTTAGATATATGAAGTTATCCTTTTTGCCCCTCATTTCTTCTTGGAAATTAGTTCTTCCATTTGGGATCACTTGCCTTCTGCCTGAATAATATACTTAATAGAATATATGAGAGAGCTGGAGGCATATTTTCCAGAAAATACCTGTTTCACATTCATTCTTAGAAGGTGTTTTCATTATAATATTCTAAGATCCTTGGCTATTTTTAGCACATTGAGGACTCTGTTGTCTTTTGTGTCTATTGAAGAGAAGGTAGCTGTGTGTCTTATGGCTTTAAGCTG